AGGAAGATGGAGGAAGAGGAGGAGAAAAGGAGGAAGAGAAGGAAGAAAAGGAAGAGAAGTAGTAAAAAATAAGAATGTTCTATTTATAGATAAGCTTTGACTTACAACAGTTCATTTAGTGACCATTCAATGTTACAATGGAGCTGGAAAAAAAAAAGACCATTTGTTCAGCAGACCCAGAATTTCACACTGTCTTTGTGGGAGGTTCTGCTTCATCAATCAACCTACTTTCCAATCAGCCTCCATGTTGTTTCCAAGCGTCTTTCTCCCAGCTTGGAAGTGAACCAGATGGATTTTCCGTTCCAACAGAGGTTTTCAAAATATCCTGTCTCGAATGGACTTGTGCTGGCAGTATTCACTTTGCTTATGAATGGAGCCATCTGGATAGTTGGCTTCCTCTTTCAATAAACTCCTTATCTTCTTAAGTGCTGGCGTCTGCTGTTAAGAAAGACTGGGGGGCCGCTTTCTGCCTCTAAAAACATGTTTCTCCATTTCTTCTTTGGGGAAATATAATATTCTGCCTTTTCTTTTAATATTCCCCAAAATATTTCATTCTTTGAGGTGGACGGGGGCTTCCCACATTGCAAGCAGAAAATCTGGAAGCATTTTCAGAATAGAAACAAGCTTAGATATATTCGCTTCTTCGGATAAAAGAATCAATTTGACCCTCTCTGCTTCTCTTTGCTACGGGGAATAATATATACTTGAATAGAATAGAATAGAATAGAATTCTTTATTGGCCAAGTGTGATTGGACACACAAGGAATTTGTCTTGGTGCAAATGCTCTCAGTGTACATAAAATAAAAGATATATTTGTCAAGATTAACTCATTCATCTTTATAATTTATATTAAAAAAATCCTCTAAATTATTTCATTTTTTTTAACCCTGAAGGGAGAAAACACGTTTTTTTAAGTTTTGATATTTTACTAACTTTAAAAAGTACTCAAGTGTGTGTGTGTGTATGCATATATATGCATATATATGCATATATGTGTGTGTGTGTGTGTGTGTGTGTGTGTGCAATATACCGCTCTTGCATCATCACAAAATCTCCAGAACTGTAAAGCCTACAAACTTAAAATTTGGCCTGTATGTTCCTCTTGATTTCTAGGTGCTCACTAAGAAATGGCTTTTTTGAAATGACCATAGGAGCATTAGTATTAGTATATTATTATTATTAACAAGCTCTGATGCTCTCCCTCCCCATCTGAAAAGAAATCTGTTCCAAATGCATAACACAAGCAGAGGAGTTTCAGTTTCAGAGCTCCAAGCAGCTTTAGGACAGAACAGTTGAACTAAGCCACGCCCAGGCTCCTTGCTGTCTCCTTGCTCACACAGCAAATACTGTTTCAGTTTCCAAACAGCCCTCAACTCTCTCACACACTGACAGGAAGTTAGCCAGAGAAATACTGATGGGTGCTGGTAGGCATAAGCAGAATCCCCCCCTTATTTTCCTCCCCCAAAACTAAGCCCGATGTTGCATAGCGAAGCACAGGTATAGAGCTAATTAAAAGAGGGTAGGCAGGACACCTACATTTTAAAAACCCAGAACCCAAAAGACATTGCCGATCACGTGACTCTATCGGGGCTGCATTGCCTCAGGAGACCGCTAGAGGGCAGTCAGATGATAGAAGAAGGCTCAGTTTTTGTTTTTGTTTTTTAAGCCCGGGCACTTTAAGAAGCCTGGACTTCAACTCCCAGAATTCTTTGCTTTGCTTTGCTGGCTGGAGAATTCTGGGAATTGAAATCCAGGCGTCATAAAGCGGCTGAGCTTGAAACATATGGCTTTATACCCCTTTCTAGGCGACTTTCAAAGTGAGACTCACCTGCAGGACCTCGTGGGCGCCGGAAGGAGGCGCCAGGCGCTGCCAGAGAGCCCAATCCCATGTAGGGGAATCCCCAGGCCCCACATTTAAAGGGTCAGACTTCAATTTCGTCCCGCAGTGGGCTTGAACCTGGATCAGAACAGAAGCCCCCTCCCCCCTTATCTTTACTTTCCAAGCCCCGCCCCCCCGTGTGTGTGTCTGTATGTGTGTAAAAGGGTGGGAAATCCCTCCTATGCAACCCCGGGAAACCCACCCACCCTCTTGCCAGGGGACCCTTTCTGGCTGCCACCCACCCCCCACATTTAAAGGGCCAATTTCCTCCCGCGGTGGCCTTGATCCTGGATCAGAAACCTCCTCCCCCCCCCTTACCATTATTTTTCAAGTGGGGGGGGAGGTGGGAATCCCTCCTATGCAACCCCGGAAAACCCACCCACCCCACTTTCCAGATGACCCTTTCTGGCTGCCACCCTCATCCTTAAAGCCCCCTTCCCACGACACGCGGGACTCCAAAGCGGTCCCAATTTCCATCAGGGTGGGAGTGGGGTGGCGGGGTGAGTGGGTAGGGCATATCGGGGCTGGAGGAGGGGCTGGGAGGGAAGGTTCAAAGAACCCCACCCCCCCCACCCGCGATGCCCGGATCGGGTGGGTGGAGGGAGGAGTAAACTGCGTGTGAACGCAAATGCGGGATGGGCCCCGGCGGAGGAAGAGGCGGTGTCAAGTAGCTTTCCGCCCCACCCCACCCTTTCCACTTTTTCCCCGGCCGACAAAGTTGCCAAAGCCCGGAAGCGGCCGAAGGAAACAAACTTTCCGAACATCGCGGCAGGGAGGAGGGGGGCTCCCGCAGGATAAAAGGAAACCCCTCCCCTCCAGGTGGAACTTCCAGCGCCCAGGGCAGCCGGCGGACTCCGGGAAGAGGCGATCGCAAGCCGGGGATGGGCCGTTGAAAGGGAGAAGCGCCGAGGAGGAGAAGGAGGAGGGAGAGGAGGTGGCAATCAACCAGGCCACCCGGCCGGGAGAAAAATCCCACGGAGACCCCTCGAAGAGAGAGACGAGCCTGCCTTCCTTCCTTCCAATCCGGAGGGCCATGGGGACCCGACAGCCCCTCCGGGCCAAAACGAGGGGTCTCCCCTACGTCGTTCTGTTGGGGGTCCTGCTGGGTGAGAGCGAACGCCCCCCACACACTTTCCATCTTCTCCTTCCCTTCGTTTCCCACGGTCCCCCTTCATTTTTGCTTATATATATATATATATATTTAATTTTATAACATATAAAAATTCCATATTTGGTTAAACAGTGTGTTGCCTGGGTACGAATAGTTTTAGAAAATAATTATCTAAGTGTTTACAGCAATGTTCGTTACATTGTTATTGATTCTATGATAATAACAATTAACAAATAATAACAATGCTTGCTTATCCGTTTTAACAAACCTCCCTTTTTTCATTGGTCCCTTTCTTATATTTCAATGTTTCTAATTTCTGTTCATTTCCCACGCTTCCCCTTCATTTCCCACAATCTCCCTTCATCCCCCACACTTCCCAGTCTGGTAGGAGTTGGTAGATCAACTTTGGGGTAAGGACACCACTCGGTTTCCTTTTCTCTCGCCCCCCACTTCCTCCCCTCAATCAGGTGGGGTTGCAGAGGAAATATAACCTGCCCCCTCCCTTTTCCCCTGGTTATCCAAAGTAAGCTGTGAAGGTCAGGAGTTGGAAAGGCAGATTGACCTCATTCTTAAGCAGGCGGCTTCCGGTTTTGTAGTTTGTTTTGTCTGGTGAAACAATGCTTTTTAGTGGCAAGTTGATTCCGCCTTTCCACGTCTTGGTGATTCCGCCTTTCCACGTCTTGGTTCTCGGGTCTTTAACAGATTAACAGAGTTGCAAGGTACCTTGAAAGTCATCAAGTCCAACCCACCTACTGCCCAAGCAGGAAACCCTACACCATTTGTGGCAAATGGCAGTCCAGTCTCTTCTTGAAAGCCTCTGAGGATGAAGCTCCCACAACTTCTGAAGGCAACTTCTGTTCTGTCGGTTGATTGTTCTCACTGTCAAAAAATGTCTCCGTATTTCCAGGGTGAATTTCTCCTTGTTCAGTTTCCATCCATTGTTCTTTCACTGGCCTTCAGGTTCCTTGGAAAATAGCTTGTCCCCCTCCTCTCTGTAGCAGCCCCTCAAATATTGGAAGACTGCTATCCTGTCTCCCCTGGTCCTTCTCTTTACTAAACTAGCCAAGCCCATTTCCTGCAAGTGTTCATTGTATGTTTTAGCCTTCCAGTCTCCTCATCATCCTGGTTGCTCTTCTCTGCACTTTTTCTAGACTCAACATCTTTTTCATAGTGTGGTGAACAAAACTGGATGCAATGATTTTTTCCCCCTCTTTCTTCCATTTTTCTTGATGGCCTATTTTTTTTTCTCAACAGTCCAGCTTTCATGCTAAAAAGGGGGGGCATTAAATGGAATCCCCCCAAAATATCTGAATATTGTAGGATGGATTGGGAAATTGATAATACAATAATAGAATAATAGAGTTGGAAGGGACCTTGGAGGTCTTCTAGTCCAGCCCCTGCTCACGCAAAAAATCCTATAGAGGCTGCAGGATCCACCCCTCTATCTGACAGGTCAAGAACACAGGAACCTTCTGTCAGCTGGTGCTCGGTTCAAAATCCAAGAAAGAAATACTTAGACTCTTGTAATTAGAGAAAAGATGTCTTTTACTGGAAGTCAGGTGGTAGCAACAAGAGAGTTCTGAATCTGAGGAAATAGGCACAGACATCACATATATCAAGGAAGTGAAATGTCCCCACCCCCAACAGTTCAAACGTTTTTTCCAATTAAATGTTGTGAACCTCAGCATGTGGACATCTCCGGGTAGTGATGATTAGTTGACCTTGGCTTACACAGATAAAGGTTTGCAGTTGCGTAGAGAAGAGAACGCCAAGCAAGAAATAGAAACCCTCCTCAGTTTATACAATATTAGTTAGTAACATCTCCAGCCTTCCCCCTTCCTCCCCACCCCCGTTACTCATGACAGCCAGAAAGAAGATCTTGAAGGCTGACACCTTCCCTTATACTATTCCAGAAAAATGGCTGTCCAATCTTTTCTTAAAACCCTCTAGTGACACAACTTCTGGTGGCAAGTTGTTCCACTGGTTAACTATTCTCACCCTCAGAACATTTGTCTTTCATTCTAGGTTGCTTTTCACTTTAAGTAGTTTCCATCTGTTGCTTCTTGTCCTGCCTTCAGGTGCTTTGGAGAATAGATTGACAACCCCCCCCCCCCCCTTTTTGGCGGCCCCCCAAAAAGAGGGAGCTAGTTTTCCTGTCATTCCCCGGTCTCCCTTTCATTGAACTAGATCTTCTAACTTGGCAAGCTTAAGACTTGTGGACTTCAACTCCCAAAATTCCTGAGCTAACATGAGTGGAGGAGGAATTCTGAGAGTTGAAGTCCACAAGTCTTAAAACTGTAAAGTTTGAAGACCTCTGGACTAGACATACCCAATTCCAGCATACATTATTTATATGTTTTAGCCTGCAGTCTCCTAATCATCTTTGTTGCTCTTCTCTGCACTCTTTCCTAGAATCTCAACATCTTTTTAAAATTATGGGACCAAAACTGGATGTAATGTTCCAGTTTGTGCTTCCCAAGGCCTCATAAAGTGATAATAAAACTTCACATGATCCTGATTTATATCACCGTTAATGCAGCTTAGTGTTTGAGTTGGCATTATCCAGGGAAAATAACCAGGGGGGAAAGTGAAAACTCTATTGGCAAAACAATAAACAGATCAAAGTGGGGTATTCACAGGAATAGAGCAAACCTTGAAAATTGTACCTTGATTTAAGTGAGCCCACCTAGCTGATTTCAGCAAAGGGATTTTAAACCACTAGAAAATATCTTAGGAAAAGGAGACCATAGTAATAGATAAAAATGATTATGTTATTAGAATATGTAATTTGTTAAATGAAAGCAAGACGGAAATTATGATTTGTATAATGTAATGAGATTAGAGAGGGATGTGTTTTAAAAATATAATAGTGGCACAACCAACATTAAAAAGGGGATAAATAGTGGACAATATAAATTAAGATGAATTTATGAATGATTATTTGAATTATATAATTAGATAAATTTTGCAAATGTGACTACTACAAGAATATGTATAAAATGATATTAATATAGATATTGATATAAGGTACAATATGAGAATACTGAATGATAAAATTGGTAATATGTAATATTAAATCATAAAGTTAATAGTATGAATATGAAATTATGGTCATGTTTGTTTTAAAATGTTAAAAAACCTGAAAGCACACTGTTCACTCAATAATGTACTTAAAGAAACAAAAAATAAAAAATGTATACAAAAAGAAGAAAATCTCACTATTGGAGGCAAGGCTACCTCGTTGAAAAGAAATATAAGGCAAAAGAAATGACAGAACACCTTGGCATGACTACAAAGAAAATTTTGGGGATGTGTTGTCAAACCACGACTCTAATCATGATCTGAAAGTTCATAAGGGCCTGTGTGAGATGCAGGGGGGGAAATCAAATTTATCTAGAATAGTGTTTGTCAGCCATTTTAAGTTGGGTGGACTTTAACTCCCAGAATTCCACAGACCAGCATGGCTGACTGGGGAATTATGGAAATTGAAGTCCACCCAACTTACAATGGCTGAGGTTGAAAAATACTCATCTAAATTTTAATTTGCTTTGCTTTCCCTTCTCTTAGGTATCATTCAGGCTGTGGAAAGTAACTCCTCACGTACAGGTGAGTAAGACCGTAGTAAGGAGGGAACCAGGTTAGCAATAATAATTTATTCTTATATTTATATAAGAATAAATTATAATGTATTCTTTTTCTTATAGAATCTTATTCCATGAGTTTATATAAACTTATAAGTTGCCTCTGAACTCTGGCAGGCACATAACTACAAAAGAAAAGAATTAAAGTAAAATAAATTTTTGTCACTTTTGAACTATGGCAGAGCTGGCAGCAGAGCCAGACAGTGAGGAGTTGAGGAGGAACATGGAGTATGGGGAAGGCTCTGACGAGAGCTCTGTGTCGGAGGCAGAGATGTGGCCAGGGCCGTCTGACAATTATCAGCTGCCTTCAGAGTCAGAGATCAGTAAGGCAGAAGAACAGCTGGAGCCTGTTCTCAGCATGCACATGCGCAGAGCTGCTAGAAGAAGGGAACAGCTGAGGAACAAGGGCTGACTTGAGAGTAAAGCCACAGGGGAATGGTGAATGGCCCCTCACCTAGACTATAAAAGAGGAGCGAAAGGAGAGAGGGCTTTGCAGGAGACAGTTAGTTCATTCCGGCATGCTTGCCAAGTATTGCGGCATCTGAAAGATATCGGCCTGGCCACTCTCCAAGCTTGATAAAGGTCTGTAATTGAGAGTAATTTTGAAAGACTGTTGGCCAGGACGTTGTTGGAGTGGAAATTCATTGTAAATTAAATAAAAGAGGTTTATCCAGACAAGGACTCGACTTCGTGCTGTTGGAGAAGCCTAGATCAGAACACTATCCAGATCTGGGGCATGGGGGGAGTGGGGGGGAGTCATCATTGCAGAGGGCAGGGGCTGCCCCAGAGAAGGCGCATTTTCCAAGCTAGGCCTCAACTTCATTCATTTAGTGACCAAAGTTACAACGGCCCTGGAAAAAGTGACTTTTTCCACTTACAACTGTTGCCGCACCCCACAATCACACGGTCAACATTCAGATGCTTGGCAACTGACACATATTTATGATGGACAAAGCGTCCCAGGGGGGCGTGTCACGTGATCACCTTTTGCGACCTTCTGACAAGCCAAATCAAGGGGGAAGCCAGATTCACTTCACGACTGGGTGACTAACTTCCCAACGGTGGCGATTCGCTTAGCAGCTACAGCAAGAAAGGTTGTAACATGGGGCGAAGTTTGCCTCACCACCGTCTTGCTCAGCGTCGGAAAACTTGGGCTCAGTTGCGGTCGTAAATCGAGGACTCCCTGTATAATCAAGGGAATCTGAGGGGAACCATGAGGCATCATTGTTTTAAAACTGAAAATTAAGGATTGTCTGTACAGGTAGTTCTCGACTTACGACCACAATTGGTCAAAAATTACGTTGGTTAGTGAGAAATTTGTTATGCAAGTGTTGCCCCACTTTTAAGATTTTTCTTTCCACATATAAAATAGAATGGAATAACAGAGTTGGAAGGGACCTTGGAGGTCTTCTAGTCCAACCCCCTGCTTAGGCAGGAAACCCTATACCATTTCAGACAAATGGTTGTCTAATTTCTTCTTTAAAACTTCCAGTGTTGGACCATTCACACAATTGTTTTAACCATCAGGAAATTTCTCCTTAGTTCTATGTTGCTTAGTTCTATGTTGATTCATTTAACAACTGCGGTTATTAACATGGTCGTTAAATGAATCTGGCTGTCCCCCTTCACTTTGGCTTGTCAGAAGGTCACAAACGCGGATCACGTGACCCTGGGACACTGCGACTGTCATAAATGTGAATCAATTGCCAAGTGTCCGAATTTTGCTATGGAGATGCTGCAAACGGTCATAAGTGTGAAAAACGGTCATAAGTCCCTTTGTCCAGGGCCATTGTAAATCCAATCAGTCAGTAAACAAACGAGGAGGACCTGTCCTGGGGGATTGCACCCAAGGAAAGCATCCAGGTTGGGGCAGAGGTGTGTTTGTGTTGTTTTGCAAGACAGGAATATATACAAAGTGAGGACTTTGATTATTATTTTTGAATCCACACGTCTTCTCTCATTCTGTTTAAAAAAGATTACAAAAGCAAGCGAGATAAAGAGAATTGGGTGCTTTTTGAAGCCAGTATGTGTAATCATTCCGAGAAATGATTGGAATTATAATCCTCAGCAATTTTTGAGATTTAGGGATTTATTATTTATTTAGGGATTTCAATTCCCAGAATCCCCAGCCAGCCACAGGGGAGTTGAAATCCAAACATCTTAAAGTGGCTGAGGTTATTAGGAAATCCCGGACTGGATTTCTACATTAACAGGTAGTCCTCGACTTACGAGCAAAACCAAGACCAGCATTTATGTCACTAAGCGAGATGTTTCTGTGAGCTTCGCCACCCTGCTCCCATTGTACAGTTTTCCTTTGCCACTCTTTGTTAAGTGAACCATTGCACTTATTAAATCAGTAACCTGGGTCATTAAGTGGATATGGCTGTCAGAATGTCGCAGATGGGGATCAAACGAGGTGCTTCAAACCATTATAAGTACAATATCAATTCAAAAATATTTCTCTGTCTTTCTTTTAGAGTTGTCAGCAGAAAGGGAGTGGGGTGAGCAGTGCATTCCTTAAATGCTTTCATAGATAATTGCTAGGCAATAATTGCTTCTGGCACACAAGATTATTACCGGAGAGTATGATTGATGACTCTTGGCTATGGATGTGTCCCATTGGAGAATATATAGCCAGGGTGTGGGGGAAACCCAGGGTCAAGGGTGAGATGAAGAGACTCATGATCTGAATGGGGATTAACTTTGAACAGTCACTAAATGAATCTTCATTGGAACAAGGATTAAAAAGTGACCAAAAGAGGAGGAATCTGGGAACGGCTAAAGAGCTGGGGGGGGGGGGGGGGCTACAGAGGAGTCATCCTTCTCCTGACTTTTCTTTTTCCGCCTCGACAGCTGTTTGTCCAGGTTATCCCGATGTCCGGAGAGAACCGCAAGGCCAAATCCATAGCCCTTCGGCCCGTGTGACGACTTCCAGCAGCTGTTCCTGGGTGATTGTGGGTGGCCCAGACGATATCATCTACATTGGGTGAGCAATAGAGGCTACAATTGAATAATACAGGATCCAAATCACTCAGGGTTTTTTTAAAAAACACTATAACTTTAAGAAGTATGGACTTCAGTTCCCAGAATTCCTCAACTATCATGGCTGAATGGCTGAGGAATTCTGGGAGTTGAAGTCCTTAGAGCTTTCTTTCTTTTATATACAATATTTGTTGAGTGTTTTACTGTTTTTCTTTCTGAATACAATAGGATTGGATAGGATACATTAGGATAGGATAGGATAGGATAGGATAGGATAGGATAGGATAGGATAGGATAGGATAGGATAGGATAGGATAAAAAGAGTTGGAAGGGACCTTGGAGGTTCTCTAGTCCAACCCCCTGGTCAGGAAACCCTACACCACTTCAGACAAATAGCTATCCAATCTCTTCTTTAAAATTCCTGTTTTTTCTCTTTGTATACAACAGGTGCTTAGTGAACAGCGTACCGAGTCAATTTGTTTACATGCCAATATTCATCTCCTAGTTTCTACCCAATTATCCAACCATGGATAAAATAAGTCCCAAGTTTGAAAATATTCTTTTTTTATCTTTTATCTTCGATGTGAATGTCCATTTCTGCATGGTCTAATATTTTTTATTATTATTATTTCTTCTTCTGTGGGTGTTTCCTCATTTTTCCAGTGCTGTGCAAGTACAATTCTTGCTTGTTGTCAAAACATGTAATATTAAATATACATTCCCTTTATCATATTTCTTTGGTAATATGCCTAGCAAAATTGAAGTCCTTAGATCTTAAAAAGTTTGAAAAGAACATGCAGACCTAAAATCTTGATTTATAAACCTTGAGGAGAAGGGTCCTTTCAATAATGACAGTGCAGAAGGAAGGAGGGAACCACAAAGGTCATCTAGGCCAACCTGCTGTCCAAAAGCTGTAGGGTCTCCTGCCTGGGCAGAGGGGTTGGACTAGATGACCTACAAGGTCCCTTCCAACTCTGATAATCTCTTAAACCATCTAGGAGAGGTAGCTGTCCAGCCTTTTTGTAATAGGACTCCAGAGATGGGGAAAAAACCCAAACCACCATAGGAAGGCTGTTTCTTCTTTATACAGGTAGTCTTCGACTTACAACCACCATTGAACCCGAACTTTCCATTGCTAAATGAGGCATTTGCTAAGTTGCTTCCCAATTTATGACCTTTCTTGCCACAGCAGTTCAGTGAATCCCTGCACTTCTTAAATCGGGCTTTCCCCATGGACAGTAGGTCGCAAAAGGGGATCACGTGACCCCAAGGTCACCACAAACGTCATCAATACAAGTCAGTTGCCAGGCATCTGAAGTTTGATCACATGACTGTAGGGAAGCTATTATGTTTGTAAGTGTGAAAAACGGCCGTAAGTCCCTTTTGTCAGTGACGTTATAACTTTGGTTACTAAATGAACTGTTGTAAGTCAAGAACTACCTGCATTTAAACTAAGTTTTGATATCTGAAATTTCTCTCAATCCTGCTTTGTTTATGTATTTATTTACTTATTTACCGTTTCCCAAAAATAAGACCTATCTTGAAAATAAGACCTAGCAAGTGTTTTATACATGCACCTAATATAAGCCCTAACCCCAAAGTAAGCCCTACTTAAGAGCCTGCGCAGCTGGCCGGATGTCCATTTTGGTTACTTGTGGTGCCATGACAGCGAGGCAGGGGGTGGAGCTGCCCCATACGCCCTGCATCGGATTACCTCAGGGCCCCCACAGCCAGGCCATCCATGCCCCGAAACTTGTTTTGCGGCAGGAGCCCACATAGCCCTGACCCACTTCTGCTTGCTCGCAGCAGCAATGGAGCAGGAGGCCAAGCAGTATGGTGGTGCTGCAGCCGCGAGGCGAGTGTCGGGGCATGGGTGGCCTGGCTGTGGGGGCCCTGAGGTAAGCCAGTAAAGGGCACGTGGCGTAGCTCCACCCCCTCCATCTTGCAGTGACAGCACTAGCGCACCACGCGGCCTGTCCCAACTGCAAGCGAGCGGAAGAAATGGGCCTCCAGTTCATGGAGAGAGGAAAAAAAACCCTGAAAATAAACCTTAGTACTTATTTGGGGGCTCAAAAGAAAATCAGGCACAGTCTTATTTTGGGGGAAACACGAGTATTTCTTTAGCCATGAAAAATACTTCTTGGATTTGCTCGTAAATGTTTATGGAGATTCTCAGTGATACGGGTCATGGTTGTCCCATAGATGCTTCTTCAAGAGGCAACTGGATTTTCCAGAAAGTCTTGAAAAAGCACCTTTGAGGACAATTTCCCCATAAGTACTTAATCATGGCCAAATCGCTTCTGAATCTCCTTTTCTTGAGCAATTCAAGTTTCTTCAACCTGTCTGAAACTGGACACATCTTCAAGTCCCCATGTCGTAGAATAAAATAACAGATTTAGAAGGGACTTTGTAGGTCATCTAGTTCAACACACACACACACACACACACACACACACACACACACCGCTCAAGCAGGAGAACCTACACCATTTCTGACAGATGTCAGAAGTCCAGTCTCTTCTTGAAAACTTCCAAGGATGAAGTTCCCACAACTTCCGAAGGCTCCATGGGTTATTCATGTAATGCCAAGGCTTTCCAAAGCTTTATATATATATATATATATTTTAATTGCTTTTAAAATAATAACAGAGAAAAAGAAGAAGAAAGAAACCAGAAGGTACCAGACACAAAAAATATAGACATAAATTAAAAATAAACAGCAAGTGTTTTAAAAAATTGTGATGGTTATATAAGTGTACTAGAAACAAATGCAAATATACAAACACACTTGCAAAATGTTTTCATTAGTTAATTATATCTAGAAGCATAACGATTCACTGTAACAATATACAGTCCTTACAACTGTTCGTTTAGGGACCATTCAAAGTTACAACGGAACTGGAAAACAGTGACTTATGACCTTTATTCACACTTATAACAGTTGCAGCAACCCCATGTTCTCCTGATCAAAATTTGGTCACTTAGAAACTGGCATGTACTTATAATCAGTTCCAACCAGCAAAATCAACGGAGGAAGCCAGATTCACTTAACGACTGCACGATGAATTTAAGAACTGCAGCGATTCGCTTAATATCTGTGGCAAGAAAGATTGTACAATGAGGTGCAATTGACTGCGCATCTGCCTCACTTAGCAATGGAAATTTAGGGCTCCATTTGGGTTATAAGGCCTGGCTGTACAATATTCATTTTTTCTCCTTTTCATTTATTTTTTTTAAGCCTGACATTCCTCCAAAAGTTGCTTAGCACAAGGGAGATTTTTCTCTTCTGGGATAAAAAAAGAATTATTTAATTAAAAGTAGGAAAGGATGACAAGAGAGAAGCAATTTAGAAATTTCTTGACTGTGAGAACAATTAACCAGTGGAATGACTTGCCACAAGAATTTTCAGATGTTCCAACACTGGAGGTTTTTAAGAAGAGATTGGATGGCCAGTTTGTCTCAAATAATATAGGGTTTTCTGCTAAAACATGGGGTTGGACTAGAAGACCTCCAAGGTCCCCTCCAACTCTAATATTCTGTGTTTGGGAAGATTTCAGATGAAGGATGCAGTTAAATATTTTTCTGAAATGTTTCAGGATTTCCTGCTGGAGTACGGGGGTTGGACTAGAAGACCTCCAAGTTCCCTTCCAACACTGTTATTCTGCATTCTGTGAAACATCTTCCTTTTTCAGCCTTCTGGCCTTGTTGTGGCCCATCGGTGGCTGGCGGAGCTGGCAGCAGAATTGGACAGTAGTGAGGAGGTTGGGGAGGAACCCAGGCCAGTCCTAGAGGCTGAGGAAGGCTCGGACGAGGGCTCTGCATCGGAGGCAGAGATGGGGCCAGGGCAGGCTGGCAGTCATCAGCTGCCTTTGGGCTTGGACAGCAGTGAGGCGGGGGAGCTTCTGGAACCAGTTCCCAGCCTGCGCATGCGCAGAGGTGCCAAAAGGAAGGCACAATTAAGAACTCAGGGGTCGATGTGGGAGTAAGGCCACATTTGGACGATGAATGGCCCCTCCCATCAGGATTAAAACAGAAGCAAAAGGGGAGGGGGCTTTTGCAGGAAACAATTTGCTCGTTCGTTCCAGCCTCGCAGAGATTTGTCTGTATAACCCAGACCTTCCCTGTCAGCACTGAGTGTGGAATTATACCAAGCAGTCTTCCAGGATTGATAAAGGTCTGAGCTAATTAGAATACCTTTGCAAGACTGTTTGCCAAGCTGTTGGCTGACTGTGAATGAAATAAATTCACATGAATGTAATAAAAGAGGTTTTTGCCAGGACTCAGAATCGACTTAGTGCTTTTGGGGGAGGCCTAGGACAGAACAGGCCTCTTCAGAAATGCCTCTTCGGGGCTTGCACCTAGAAAGACAAATCCAATTTGAGTCTGGGGTATTTTTGATATCCCCCCTCCCAACAGGTTCCAGCACTTCATCCTTTCCTGCGGGTCAGAAATGCTGATAATCCGTGCGCCCAATCAGCTGTCCAGGAAATTGTGCGGTTACACAGTGCCGGAATCGATTCGCATAAAGGGTGGCAACGTGACGCTGACTTACAGTTGGAAATTTTGGGCAAGGAACAGATTTCTGCTGAAATACGAAAGAGGTAAGGGCCAGAACTGTGAGGGGGGGGTCCGCAACTCTAAAACCTCGAGACTAGATTATACAGATAGTCTTTGACTTAGAACAGTTCATTGAGTGGCCCTTCCAAGTCACCACGACACTGAAGAATAGGATCTTTGCAGAGTCCCCCGGATTATCTGATCAAAATTCAGATTGTCGGCAACTGGTTCGTATTTAGGACTGTCGCAGTATCCCTGGGGTGATAACGTCTCGTGATGACAATGTTGTTGCGAGTTTTACAATCCTGATGTAGTGAGTCATAAGGCAGCCGATGCTGACAGTTCTACTTTGTGTGTTGAATACCGAACAAATGATGAGTACCGGGATAAAATTGTCACATCAAAATGCGTCAAGTACCAAATTTGATGAGTTTCAAAGTAGCTGAGCCATGTAGAAAAATACATTTTGTGACTATTCAATGTTATAACGGCAGTGAAAAAAGCAACAGGATGTTTTTTCCCATGACTGTTGCAGCATCCATGTGTTCAAAATCAAGACACTTGGCAACTGTCTCACATTTATGACGGTTGCAGTGTCCGGGAGTTGTTTGGTTTCCTTTTACAACCTTCTGATGAGCGACATCATTGCAGAAAGCCAGATTCACTTAACAACATTACTGATCAATCCAGATTTTAACAGTATTCAATTGATCCCTGGATTATATCTCCAACTTCCCACAATTTCTAATCCTTAAAAGTTTGAAATTCACAATATATTTTAACACACAATTAATATTATCTTAGTAAATGTTTTGTTTAGCAACAGAAATTTTAGGCTCAATTATGGTTGCAAATGGAGGGCTACTAAACTGAGGAACTGCTATATTAAGATTCATGATGCTGATAGTATCTCTAGAGCAGCGGTCGCCAACTGGGGGGACCTCGCCCCACTGGTGGGCCATGAGAAAATGTTGGTGGGCCTTAGAGAAATCTCACCCCCAGAGCACCCCCCCAAAGCAATTAATCCAGGCTGCGCAGAAACACAAGGCTGCTCAGCCCACAAGGCCCGCAGGAACACTCCCCGCCCACTCACTCCTTACCCGGCAAACTTGTCTGCTAAGTTGCTATTTTTCCTTTTTCCGACCATCATCTGTTCTGCTGAGCCGGGAGATTTCGATTAGCTAGGAAGCAGGAAATGGTTGGATTTCTTGCTTTCTAGCTAGTCTTTAGATCTTCGGCTCTTCTTTAAGTAAAACCGAACCTCCCTTAGGACTGAAGGTTTGCTTGCAAGCAAATTCAGTGCAGATTCACGGCAAGCAAATTTGAGAAAATGAGCTAGCTGATGGCAGATAGATAGATCACTGAACGATTCTTTTAAAAAAAAAAATATTTTTAAACTTTATTTACAAGAATTAAAAACATACAAATTTAAAAATACAAAACCAATAGTGTATACATAACACATTCTCTTTACATGTGATATCGAATTTGATATGTCCTAATAGTCATTACTGATACTTCTCACATGTCCATTTACTATCACATCTTAATCACTAAATAACTCACAATACTCTACTAATCTTCTCGTTAGTTTATAACTATTTATTAATAATACATTCATAATTTTTTAAATAATAAATAAAAATATATAGTGAATATATAATGCTAATAATAATAATGTAGGAGAAAAGAGGATTTAACACCTTTGTTATTATACATTTTGCATAGACAGCTGAATATAATTTGTTTCTTGGGTTCATTTACGTGTTTTCCCTTTACAATCTACCCAGTTGTATCATTTATCCCATATCCTATAATTGTGTCCTCCTTCCCATTGATTTTGAGTGTGAGCCTCTCCAATTGGGCACACTCATACATTTTTTGAATAGCAACATGTATTGGTGGTACATTTGGATTCTTCCAATATTGTGCTAATGAAATCTGTGCCGCTGTTAATAAGTGGATGGTCAGATATCTTACTCTAGGGGTATAATCCCCTTTAATCATTTCCAACAGAAATAGTTCCGGTTTCCACTCCAGCCACACTCTGTAATTTCTTCTATCCACTCTTTTATTTTTAACCAATATTTCTTTATCTCAGGACAAGTCCACCATAAATGAAAATAGATACTAGATTTCCCTTTACATTTCCAACAGCATGGGTTTGCTGTCGGAAATATTTTGACCAATCTAGAGGGTGCCGGATGCCATCTATACATCATTTTTATATAGATTCTTCTTGTGTGCTACTGATTTATTAATACAAGATCTTTTTTGCCAAATTTCTTCCCAGTCATCCAGCTCTATACTATGACCAAAGTTTTTTTCCCTTTCACAGGTCCTTTCACAGTTTTCTCAGCCATTTCATGTTCTAATAAATAATTATATAGCTTAGAGATCAACTTTTTCTCAGGACTTGAGAGTATTTTGTCTAAATGTGTATCTTTTACCTCAATTCCATAACCCTTTACGTCTTTATTATATCTCAATTTTACTTGGAAATATGACCAATTATCAATGACTATCCCTAGTTCCTGTATCGTTTTAATTCTTCCCTCTTTATCTAATATTTGATGGTACTTCAGTTCTTTACTGATATCCATCGTATTTAAGTGGAACATTGCTTCCATCACTGAAAACCACCTCGGAATTTTGGTATAATGATTTCTTCTAATATCAGCCCAAATTTTAATTAATGGCTTTCAGAATACATCTCTAGTAAAGTATAAATTGTTTTGGCTATTCAGGTTCCACAAAAATGCGTGCCACCCTAATTGTAAGTCGTGGCCCTCCAATTTTAAAATTCTATTGTTCCTCAGATTGATCCAATATTTTATCTATACTAATGCCGCCGCTTTATAATAGATCTCCCAGGCAGGGAGTCCAAATCCACCTCTGCTTTTGTTATCTTGTAAATATATATTTTTTATTCTCGTTTTTTTCTTTGCCCAGATAAATTTCCTCACAATTTTATCGAATTCTTTGAAGATTTTTTTATCCAATAATATCGGAATTGTTTGAAACAGATATAGTATTTTAGGTAAAACATTCATTTTGATTGTTGCTATTCTGCCTAATAATGAAATTTGCATCTTATTCCAATTTTCCAAATCTTTTTCAATCTGTTTCAGTAATTTGTGTAGTTGTCCTCCCACAGATTTAATGTTGTAGCTCTTAACCAGATACCTAAATATTTGATCTTATTTACAATTTGTAATCCCATCTTTTCTTCCATTTTTTTTGTTTACTATTTGATAAATTTTTAACTAGCATTTTAGTTTTTTCCCTATTAATTTTAAATCCTGCCAGTTTACCGAATTTATCTATTTCATTTAGTAAAGCTGGTCCTGAGTCTATTGGGTCTTCTATAACAAAAACCATATCATCTGCGAAGGCCTGTAATTTATACTCTTGACTTTTAATTTTAGTTCCTTTAATTTCTTTATTTGATCTAATTCTATCCAACAAAGTTTCTAAAATTGTTATGAAAAGCAGAGGTGAAAGAGGGCATCCCTGTCTGACACCCGTCCTTATCTTTAATGATTTAGTAATTTCTAATAATACGTTAGCCTTTTGTGTAGCATAAATTGCATTTAACATTTTTACAAAATTACCTCCAAAGTCCATCAAGTTAATCTGCTTCTTCATAAAGGCCCAATTTAAGTTGTCAAAAGCCTTTTGCTCATCCAGGAAGACCAAGGCCACTTGGCTTTCTGGATGTTTTTCATAATATTCTAATATGTCTGTTATTATTCTTGTATTATACCTAATCTGCCTTGTGGGAAGAAAGCCATTTTGATCCTAATGAATTTTTTTACTAAGTACTTTCTTTAATCTTTCCGCCATTATCGCTATAAAAATTTTATAATCTGAATTTAAAAGTGATATTGGTCTATAATTCTTTATTTGGTTGGCATCTACACCCTCTTTCGGAATCAATATTATGTAAGCTTCCTTCCATGATTATGGAATTTTAGTTTCCAGTAATACCTCATTGCAGACCTCTAATAGCATATCGTCTAGTGTGGCACCTATCACTTTTTTTTTTAATAAAATTTTTATTAGTTTTTAAAACAAACATAAACAAACAAAACATAAAAACATCAAATCATCTTCCATATATGTACATACAGTGTGCCAGTTGGTTTACAAATTGTTTTGTGCTTCCATTTCGTAATCTTCAATTACAGTTACATTGTATATGATCTTATATTTTCAATCCAATATTAAATACATTGGTATCATTATTAATTATTATTAATCACTAGACTTTTATTTATTCATGCTTTGGAAAATAATCATATTTTACTTAATTTGTTTTGTGACAATTCATATTATCATCCCAAATCTATCCTGAAAACATTTTGTAGGTATAATAAGAACAGAATACATCTTTATATATTTAGTATTTTCTAAAAGTCTACATATTTCATTACTATATTTTATTATCTAACCATTGATAGAATAGATCCCAAACTTTATAAAATTGTTTATCATCCTGTTCTCTAATTTCAAATGTCAATCTGCTCATTTCAGCACATTCCAATATTTTCTTAATGATTTCCTTCTGTGATGGTATTTTCTCATTTTTCCAGTTTTTAGCAAATACATTTACAATCAGGTATTTCAAGTCTTTACTGTATATTTCAGGTAAAATTCCCAATAAAAATATCTCTGCTTTCAATTCTATATGTTTTTTTGTCATTTTTTCCAACCACGTGGGGCTTTTAGTCCAGTATTTTTAGCATCTGCACAAGTCCACCACATGTGGTAATACGAGCCAGGTGTCTGATGACATTTCCAACATTTTTCGGATTTATTCTTGAACATTCTTGCTATTCTGGTCGGGAGAAAATGCCACCTGTAAAACATCTTATACAAATTTTCGTTATATGCTGTTGACATTGTCATTTTATAATTTTGAGACCACAAGGCACCTATCACTTTATATAATTCATTTGGTAGTCCATCTGGACCTGGCGTTTTGTTTCTTTTTTGTTTTTGAATCGCTGCCTTTACTTCATCTAAGGTTATTTCTTTATTAAGCAGCTCTTTTTTAATCATCCAGTGAAGGGTACAGAATTCCTTCTTTCAAATATTCTTCTATTTTATTTAAATCAACTTCCTCTTGTTTATAAAGATCCTCAAAATATTCTTTTGCAATTTCCTTTTTTTTCTCCAGATCCATCTCTATTATTCCATTTTCATCCTCTAGTTGATATACTGTTCTTTTCTGATTTTCTTTTCTTAATTTATATGCCAGCCACCTACCGGATTTATTTGCATGTTCAAATAATTTTGTTTTGTATATAGTAATTTTTTAATTAATTCCTCTTGATCTAAAATATTCATTTCATGTTTAACTAACGCTAATTCATTTCTAATTTGCTCATCCCCTGGGGTTTCCATTTGCTTATTTTCCATTTTCTCTATTCTTTCTATTAGAGCTTTCCGCTTTCCCTCTCTTTCTTTATTTCTATTTGCTGTAAAAGCTATCAATATTCTCCTTAAATATGCCTTCATAGTATCCCATAGATTCTGCAATGAGGTATCCTGTTTCTTATTAAATTAAAAAAACCTAGTCAGTTCTTCCCTAACTTTTTGAATATGTTTTTCCTCCTTCAATAATTGTGAATTGAGTGTCCATCTACTTTTTTTATAGAAACTATTTTTCCATATTATCTGTACCGGATTATGATCTGCCCATGTATTATCCAAAATCTTTATAGTCTGAATTTCCTTGCATTGCTCACTATTTACCCAAGCCATATCTATCCTGGACCAAGATTTGTGTGGGCTGGAGTAAAAAGTAAACTGTGATATTCCTGGATTTCTCTTCCTCCACACATCCACTAGTTCTAATTCTTCAACCATCTCTAGAAATTTCTTAGGCAATGTATTCCGTTTCTTATATTGTCTTTGTTCAAAGGCATAATCTTTACTATTGTTTGTAATTGCATTGTAATCTTCTATAATACAAATTCTTGAGTTACCAAATTCTATTAATTTCTCATATAAATTTTTGTAAAATTTACTTTGATTTTTATTGGGGGCATATATCCCCACTAATAATGTCTTTTTATTTTGTATTACCACCTCTACCATTACTATTCTTCCCAATTCATCTTTATAAATCAATTTTGAGGCTATGTCCTCTTTTATATATAGTACTGCCCCTCTTTTTTTCTCTTCTGCCAATGCTGAATACATTTCCCCCAGTTTTTTATTTACTAAATATCCTTGATCACGTATCTTAATATGAACCTCTTGAATACAGATCATATCAGCTCTTTGTTTTTCTAACTTAAAAAATACTCTTTTTCTCTTAACTGGATCATTTAACCAATTAATATTTATAGATATTAAATTTACTCCTTTATCCATTTCCCTTCTTACTTCTATCCCTCAGTATTTTTACTTGTCGTTTGACTTCTAGTCCTCACTCCTAATTCTTCTCTTCCAAGTATCTCTTCACCTCCTTCCCTCTCTTTCTCCTATCCCTCCCACTACTTCTAAGTTGTAACTCTTCTTGACTCAAGGTCTCGTGGTCATCTCTGCTGCTCGATTCTTCGGCTATTCCTCCTATTTGAGCAAAAAATTCTTGAGCTTTAGTCAGACTATCTATTCTCACCGTTTTCTCCTTCCATATTACTAAAATACCCTCTGGGATAATCCATCTAAAAGGTATATATTTTTTTTATTTAAATTATTTGTGAGAAATCGATAATCTCTCCTCTGCTTGCGAACTCTTCTCTGAACCTGTTTTAAAACAATCACTTCTCTTCCTTTATATTTTATTCCTTCATCTCTTGTAACTCTATAAATTATATCTTTCACTCGCCTCCTTGCAAATCTAATATGCACTTCTCGGGGTAGTCTGTGCCGTCTCGCGTAGCTCGTACATTCTATATACGTCGTCCAGCTCATTCACCATCTTATTCGTATCTCTATTCAAAAGCTCTGCCAATATCTCCGCCATCACCAACAGTAAATTCTCACCCCTCTCTTCCTCTGTGTTCTGGAACCTTAGATAATAGGAGGCCTTATCCATCTCAAGATGTGTCAGGGTTTCATTTGTCTCTTTATTCTGTTCCATAATATTTTGTTCCATGCCTTCCAACTTCTTTTCCATTTGATCAGCTAGTTTTTCAATCTCTTTAATCTTCTCTTCATTTATTTTAACCAATTCCTGTATCTGGCCTGTCTTTCCATCCAAATTCTTAACTTTGCTTCTCATTTCTCCTAACTTATTTTTTAATTCTTTCATTGTTTCTCTTTCTGCTTTACTTTCCGTATGATTTTTAGACATCGACTCCTGCATTGCCAACATCGTGCTTTGAATAGTTAATAATGTAGTTTGAACCGATTGTGTATTAGTTTGGGTTGTGGATTTTTCTGGCACCAACATCCCTTCAATCGTTTTTTGGGTCAGTGTTACTGTGGGGGTAGATGGTGTTACTGTTGATGCTATTTTTCTTCTTGTTTTTGTAATAGTGGTAGTTGTACTAGTCATATCTTTGCTAATTCTTTGTTGTTCGTCCACTATCCTAAATATATTTTCCCAGATTATATTGCCAACTACCATCAAACTTATCTGTATTTTACGATTTAATTTTCTCAGTTATCTAATATTTTACTTTAGACTACTGTTTGTCTGCTTAAATCTAATTTCCTACCACCATTAGATTAAGGGAATTATCATCAATTAATAATTATGTATTCAAACTTCCAAACCTACCTATTATTCTAGATATTCCCTTCACCTTGTATTAATACAATACCTAGTCTTAATAAATTCAATAACTCATCAGTTCTTAAATCGTCTAACAGATAAAAGAAAAAAAGAAAAAAAATCATTCAGCTGTATTTAGATATATAGCAATAATATAACCCCAGTCACTTCTTTAAATTGATTACTGTATTTCAGCTAATATTTCCCTAAATATATAATAAAAGTTCAACATTCAAATTAATACTTTTTATATTGCAGTAAATCACAGTATCTAATATAAGGGGGATATGAGAAAGAGAGGGAGGGAACAATCAATTAACTCATCATTATATTAATCAGTATATTAAATTCATTAATCTATATTCAATCAATATATATGTAAAATAAAGAAGAGAAAGAAACTATAGAATATAATCCAAAGGGATTAAATATCACTTACTCAAGTTAAATCAATCTTATTTTCTTATTAGTTGAATATATACTATAAATAAATATAAAGTGAATCTATACCACTTCCATCAGTTCCAAGAGAAAAAAAGAAAAAAAAAACACTGGACAAGATGAGCATTTACAGTCTCCCACTTTCCTGTCGTTGCCTTGATATTCAGGTCATATCCAATAATAAACTGAGGTCTCAGTCCTCAGTTCTAACAGTCACTTGAGCTGCCTTCCTCCACTCTCCCGGAATTGCCAGTCTCAATGGCCACCACCGCAAGTTGCACTGTCACTCCTCCACTCAATTTCAAAGTTTCAGAGTTCTTGTCCGCCCACAGAGTACTCTCTGCGATTTGTTTGTATGGCTAGAAGTAAAAAATTGTCACCAACTAGAATCTCTCTTCTCTCTTTTTCACTTTCCTATTTAGAAATGAGTTTTACTTTATCCAGAGCTGGGAGTAGCAACTCAGTCCTGCTGCCACTTTCAGCTTTCCCCCTTTTGCATCGGAATTTCAGACATTCATCACTTACTTTCCCAAATTATCCACTAGTTATAATCCAATAGCATTTTTGCCTCCAATATCTTTCCCTGACTCAAATTCGATATGTTATCTCCGCTTCCTTCTTAAACTTGTTCCGTCACGTATTTGGGCCAGCCTCAACAGGCTGGCTTCTTTTGCCCTGAGCTTCAGGCTCCCTTCTTTACCTCCATGGTTGCAATTCCCAGTTAGTCTCCGAGAGTTCTCCCTCACTTGGGTGATCCTGCCAGGATCTGATTCCCACCTCGAACGGTCACCCACGAACAAAAACCCTGACGTAGGAGAGCAGAGCGGAGTTCTCCTACCTTGCTATGCCGCGATGTCACCGGAAGTTGATTACTGAATGATTCTGTGAGCAATTCAGTTTGCCTGCTTTGCCTGCTTTTGGATAAAAGTTGCTTTTTTTAAAAGAAAAAAAATCAATATTTACATGCATGGTGTGCTGTGAGTTAATTTTATGAATTTGCTTGCAACCAAAATTTTATGAGTTTGCTTGCAACCAAATTTTATGTGACAGACTGAGCTAGCCAATGGTGGATAGATTTCTGAATGAATCTGTGATTCTGTGAGCAACTCAATGTGCCTGCCTGCTTTGCCTGATTTTGGGTAAAAGTTGCTCTTTTTTTTAATAAAAAATTCAATATTTATATAAATATTTATAATATTTACATACAAGCCATGCCCAGCCAGTCACATGACTACCAAACCACACCCACAAATTAGGCCACACCACAGAACTAGTTAGTGGTCCCTGGGATCTAAAATTATGAGTTTGGTGGTCCCTGAGGTCCAAAGGGTTGGCGACCCCTGCTCTAGAGAGACTTTTTGGCCCCAGTAGAAGAGAAGGAAGTTATTTTGTGGGTCTCCTGCTACATAATGAAAATGGTGTCACTTTTGCGTCTTGCCTTTTTCATCTTTCTCTGCTTTAGAACCTAAAACACACCCTATTGTGTCATGCAACCGCACCTTGGACGACTTCTATGGGGTGATTTATTCCCCCGCTTTCAGCTCAGATTCACATCTAGGCGCTGCACATTGCCAGTGGGTTTTGGATGCCCATGATAGCCGCCCCCTCATCCTTCGCTTCACGGTCCTTAACTTAGATATTGGAGACTCCATCCGGGTGTATGATGGGGTACCCGGCACCCCGCTCCACCCTCACTTGCTGCGTAACTTGGATTACACCAGCAACAACAAGATTGTGTTGGTTGACTCCCCATCAAGCCGGGCATGGGTAGTGTACCAAGCAGTACCAGGAACAGAAGGACGGGGTTTCAACGCTACATATCACGTGCAGGGATTTTGTGTGCCATGGGACTTCCCCTGTGGAGGAGACAGCGGCAAGGGCGCTACATGTTACAGCACTGCCGAGCGCTGTGATGGGAACTGGGATTGTGCCAATGGCGCTGATGAGGACGGTTGCCACGGCTGCCCACCGGGGCAATATCCCTGTGGAGGACGAGGCATTGGAGGTGCTGTCTGCTACAGTCCCGCCGATCGTTGCAACTACCAAACATTTTGTGCGGATGCTGCTGATGAACGCCACTGTTACACCTGCCAGCCTGGGAACTTCCGGTGCAGAGACGGCCGCTGTATCTATGAGAGTTGGGTGTGTGACGGGCAGGCAGACTGTGTCGATACTTCGGATGAGGCGGATTGCTCCTACATCCTGCCCCGAAAGGTGGTGACAGCGGCCGTCATCGGCAGCCTGGTGTGTGGTCTCCTTCTGGTCATCGCACTGGGCTGCACATGCCGTCTGTATGCGCTCCGGAGCCATGAATTTGGGTGAGGGGTCAGCTAGCGAACTAAAGGAAGAGTGTGGGACTTTGGTAGTATGGTGGCTGGAAAGGAGGATGGGGATAGAGTTGATGCGCTAGAGGGGCTAATATTGGGAGGAAGGGACCTGTGGTGAATGGACTGATGGGAGAGGGAGTTGCATCCTAGGAATGAGGGCTGACCCCGGGACAGTGTTTCATGTTACCCAAAACCTTGGCAGTTTTAAGAAGTGTGGACTTCATATCCCAGAATTCTTCCTTCCTCAAGCCGGTTGGGGAATCGTGGGAGTTGAAGTCCATGCATCTTAAGATTGTTAGGGCTGCTTTAGACAATCATAAACATCCTCAGGAATCCTGGGAGTTGAAGTCCATGAATTTTAAGGTTGCTGAGGCTGCTGTAGACAATCATAAAGGTCCTCCAAGATTTATAAATTTGACCATACCAACCCAGTGAGGATGAAGGACCAATGAATTGCAATGGTTTCTCCTCATACAGGGAGAAACTAGGAAAGAAACTAGAGAAAATACTCTTTTAAGGAGACTAACCTTCCCCAACTCAGCTGTCCACCAGGAAGGTGAACCAATTCCTTAGCATTGGCCATGATGCCAATGGGATTCTGGGAGTTGAAGTCCACACAGCTGGAGGTTGCCCAGTTGATAAAATCTTGCTAAGAAAATAAGGAAGGGTGAGGATGGCGAATCAGGGTTACACTCTTAAGAATGGAACAACGATTATCATTCTCTTGATTTCTCCCTCCTTTAGAGTCTTAGCACCTATGTCGCGAATGGAGGCCCAGCTGCTTCAGCGCCAGGCTCCGCCATCTTATGGGCAGCTCATCGCTCGCGGGGTTATTCCTCCAGTAGAAGGATTCCCAGTTGAGCATCCAAATCAGGTAAGTGGGCCCAACAGTCTTCATGTACCTTCCTCAAGACCAGAGAGGTCTCCAAACTGACTTGACTTCAACTCCCAGAATTCTTCAGCCCACCATGCTGAATTCTGGAGTTGAAGTCCACAAGTCCTAAAGTGGCCATGTTTGAAGACTCAGAAGAGCACCAGTGAGGAGTGGTGTCAAGAGGGCCACTCCCACCTAGTCAGCCACACCCAGTGAGTGGCATCAAGATGGCCACACCTACCCAGTCAGCCACACACCCCTTGCCCCCCCCCCTCCCCGAGGTCAACCACAACCCTGATGCGGCCCACAATGAAATTGCTCTAGCGTCTTGATTGGGGGCAAGTCCTTCCATGAAATTATGTCCGACAAGCAAAATATACAGGTAGTCCTCACTTAACAACTGATCACATACCTGGCCCCAAGACTCCTAAGATGATCCCACCAATACCATCTCCCTGTGGCCACATATGTTGGACACTTGGCTACTGGCTCATGTTCACAATGATTTGTATTGTGTGTCTTGTGGTCACATTATTTTTGATTTCTGATATCCCCCCCCCACTCCCCGAATTTTTGGCATTTGCTTCCAATTTCGGGCAAAACCACCCACTGGATCAAATGAACGTATTTAATGAGTGGAGGATTAGACATAGGACAAAAAAAATGTTGTGAAATTGAGTTGGTCCCATGATGACCCATTTAAAGACCACCATAACTTACAACCCTAATTCTGAGCTGAATTAGCCATAAATTAAGGTTTACTTGCATATTATTCTGGGGGGGAAATGATGACTATGGGGGTTCCAAGTCAGGAAGACTGCTTAATATGACCAATGAGAAAAGCACCTTTAAAATGGTCCTTTAATTAAGTGTAAAAAACCAAAAGGTGAATTCCACTCTGTAAAGCCTTAGTAAGGCCACACCTAGAGTACTGCATCCAGTTTTGGCGACCACACTATAAAAAAGATGTTGAGACTCTAAAAAGAGTGCAGAGAAGAGCAAGCAGGATGATGAGGGGACTGGAAGCTAAAATACACAATGAATGTTTGCAGGAACTGGGCCTGGCTAGTCTAGTGAAGAGAAGGACCAGGGGAGACATGATAGCCGTCTTCCAGTATTTGAGGGGCTGCCACAGAGAGGAGGAAGGGGTCAAGCTATTTTCCAAGGCACCAGAAGGCCAGCGAAGGAACAATGGATGGAAACTGAACAAGGAGAAATTCACCCTGGAAATTAGACATTTTCTGACAGAACAATCAGCCAATGGAACAGAAGTTGCCTTCAGAAGTTGTGGAAGCTTCATCCCTGGAGGCTTTCAAGAAGAGACTGGACTGCCATCTTGTCAGAAATGGCGTAGGTCCCCTGCTTGGGCGGAGGGGGTGGTTGGACTAGATGATCTACAAGGTCCCGTCCAACTCTATTAATCTGTACTTATCTATAATATACCTATCTGTGAAGGTTGAGCAGCAACATCTCAAGAGGTTTGCAGAGCAGCAGAAGACAAGAATGAGTGATGGATAAAAACATGGGTGTATACTATTGACTCCCAATTAGCATTTGTAGTCTTGAGGGCCAGTAGGCCAATTTTTGTGATGTTCCTCATTTGCTGGTCTTCCTAAAAAGTCATAAGACATTCTTGGTCCATCTCATGAAGACCCCAAAACTGTTAAGATCTACTACTTCTTTTCATGGTCTTCTGTAGGCCCTTTCTAAAGGTATGTCTTTTACCTGTAAGAGACATCCAATCACAGCAATCACTCTTAAATTTCTACCAAGGAGAACTAGGACTCCATATAATCTTTGATTTATGACCACAATTGACCCCCCCCCAAAAAAAATTTTGCTAAGTTGCTAAGTGAGACAGTAGTGAAGTGAATTTCTCCCCATTTTACAACCTTTCTTGCCACAGTTGTTAAGTGAATCGCTGCAGATTTTAAGTTAGTAAAATGGTTGTTAAGTGAATCATTTCTGGTTGATTTTGTTTGTTGGAAGGGCACAAAGCAGGGAATCATATGACTCTGGGATATTGGATCCGTCATTACTATGCACCAGTTGACAAGTGTCTGAATTTTGATTGTGTGGTATACCGCAACAGTGGTAATTGTGAAAACGATCGTAGGTCACTTTTTTTCTGTACCATTGTGGCTTCAGATGATCACTCAATGAGCTGTTGTAAGCCAAGGACTACCTGTAGTCCAAGGGACAACTCTCAACTTCAGCTTTCTTCTTCAAGCTGTGAATATGTGAAGCTGAAGATCTGACTTTCTTCCGGGTTCTCGTTTCAGAATTCGGTCCTGGGGAATTTGCGGTCCCTCCTGCATCTCTTGCGACGGGACCCAGCCAGCCCTGCAGGAACCAATGGGGCGTGTCGTCCCCATCAAAGCCGCTTCATGCGACGTCTGACGAGGCGTATGCGCCGATTGGGGCTACTCCCTGCCCTGGCTTCCCCCGCCTCATCTTCAACTACGGCTTCCACCGTCGCCCCTAACTCATCTCCTGCGCCTGATGACCTGGCCGAACCATCCCGTTGGGACGGAGATGTTTCTTCCCAGCTTCCAGAAGACCAAGCGCCGCTTCTTGCTGCCAAGGTCCCACCAGTTCCTGTGGAACCCACGCCAGCTCCTCACATCCCGCGGCCTCCTCCACGGTTTACGGGGGTCATGCGCAGCCTCCGTGTCCGGCTTTTCTCCCCCACGCTCACCTGCTCCGGAGAGGCTGGAGAGGAACGGAGCATGTTTCCATCTCCCGATGATGAAGACGAAGTGCTTCTCGTCCCTCTCACTGACCCGCAACTTGAGAACTTCGAGAGCTGGGATGGCGACGATGAACCTCTTCTGACTTGAGAAATTTGGCTGGACGTGGCCTTGAGAAAATCTGTCACCAGCGACCAGATAGTCAAGTCTATTTTTCTTTCCTGCAGATCTTTCCATGTTTCCCCACCCCCACCCCAATTTATTTCCCCACCCCACCCCACCCAAAATATTTCTGCTTTCTTGTCGGCGTTTTAGCCACCAGGAATGGTTTGATTTGGCCTTTGGAGTCCGCTCCCTTTTCGGATCCACTGAGGGTTGCAGAAGTCTGATGGATCTTTTTCTTGGCTTCTTCCATCTTAATCTGTAGAGGGGATTGTTCTCTTGTGAAATTGCAATGTGTGTTCTCAAATTGCACAATCATTCTCGAGAGAACTTTTAGATGTCTTTGACCCTGAACAGGGAGCTTGCGTTGAAAGTTATCAAAGTATATGCGCTTGGCATTTTAAAGATCCTTCTTTAAAAAGGAGGAGGGGGAGGAGGAGGAAAGAATGAAATGCATTTTTTGGAGAAACACTCCAGGTATTTGCCTGGCTAAAAAAAAAAAAATGAAGGAAGCAAAGATACAATCCAGAATAACCTTTAGCGGCACAAAGGCAGCTTCTTTAACATGCTGATTGATTTGATTTGATTTTTTTTCCCCTTGGCAGCAATTTGACCTTCCAATTGTCCATCGTGTATCGCAACTGAAGATTTATTTTTGTGAATTTATGGAAAGCTGAAAATTTCTCTCTATACATATATGTAATAATTCCACCAGAACTGTTTCTTTGCGAATCACGTTTTACGGTGAAAACTTTTTTGCTAGCCAATCGTTCTTTTTTTCTGTGTTCTGTGGAAGCGAATCCTAGATTTACACAAAAAAAAAGTCAAAGAAAAAAAAAAGAAAGATGGAAAATCCCTGGAATCTTTTGTTGATAAATCTTTTGTAAGTAAATTATTTTTTCAAAGCACAGCCAATAGAAAGAAAGAAATTTTGCACATTGAATGTCCAAACAGCTGTAAATAAACTAGACTTTGTATGAAGGATAAAAGAAAACTTTTAAGAGCAGAATTTAGTGGTATTCATTGTGGATTGTGTCCTTTTCAACTTTAAAGATGGGTGCTTTTCAACTTTAAAGATGGGTGGACTTCAATTCCCAGAATTCCCCCAGCCAGCATGAATTCTCGAAGTTGAAGTCCACCCATCTTAAAATTTCTGAGTTTGAGAAAAACTGCTTTATATGAGGTGTACACCCAATTACTCTGAAATAAATATGATTGGAGAAGTTGTGAAAAAGAAAGGTTTAAATAAAAAATCAGGGTTATTTTTACAAAATTGTTCTTAAATTCTTAAAAGTGTTCTTAAATGAGATTATGATTTCTTTCGCATCAGTGAAGTGGGCGATGGTGGTTTCCCCCCCTCACACACTATTTTTTCTGGATTTCAAATCCAAAATTCTCCAAAACAAGCTGGCATACGACCTAACAAGTGATGAAGTGGTCTGTGGCAGAAAAACAGAGATAGTCCTCGACGTACGACCGCAACTGAGCCCAAAATCTATGTTGTTAAGCAAGACATCCGTTAAAGTGAATTTTGCCTCATCTTATGACCGTTCTTGCCACAGTTCAGTGAGTCACACGAATCATGCTTCCCCATTGGCTTTGCTGGTCAGAAGGTCGCAAAAGGGGATCTGCCTGATTTCCCCTCCACCACAGGACACGGCGACCGTCGTTAATAGGAGTCAGTTGTCAAGCATTGAAATTTTGATCACGTGACTGTGGGGATGATACCGTAATCGTAAGTACAAAGAAGAAAAAGTCACTTTTTTTCAGTATCCTTGTAACTGAACGGTCTCTAAATGAACCATCGTAAGTCGAGGACTACCTGTATCCAACTTTGGTTTAGATTAAACCCACTAAAATCCACGTTAACCAGTTAAGAATTTTTTTTAAAAAACCATCCCAAGCTTTGTTTACCCTGACTGGATTCAAATACCGTCTGAATTCTTTTTTTCTTTAAAAAAATAATAATAATAAAAGCAGTGCCTCAGTTTTCATTATATTTTTAGGCAAGAGGGAAGAAAAAAGGGGAAAAAACCTCCATAAAATCTGTGTTGGTTCTCTGCCCAGTCATTTTATTTATCTTTATTTTTACAAAGCCCACAGAATGCAAATAAACACAAGCTTGAGACAAACTTTTTTAAAAAGGAAAAAATTGTAAATGGTGCCGTAATTTCTCCCAAGAGAGGTAGACATTTTGAAGAGAAACCCGGGACGCCACTGGTGATCTTTGACTTACGACCGTGACAGAGCCCAGAATTTATGTTGTTAAGTGAGACATGGGTCAGGTGACCTTTGCTCCATTTTTATGACCTTTCTTGCCACAGTTGTTCAGTGAATCAAGTTAGTGACACGTTAAGCGAACCTTGCTCCCCCATCGACACCGCAACCGTCATAAAGATGAGTCAGTTGCTAAGCATCTCGATTTTGATCGCGTCACAATGCCAAGGTTATATCTGTTGGAGAAAAAAAACCCTTTTTGGAGGCGTTGTTGTCACTTCGGATGGTCGCTGAATGGACTGTTGTAAGTCGAGAACTACCTATGCTAGTTCTCAGTGTGGCTTCTGAGATTTAGGTTGGTAAAATACAACTTGGAGGAAACTAAAAAAATTTTTTTAAAAAAGGGTCAGGAGGGAGACTGCTAAATTAATGTTATTGTTTTGGTCACCAATGTGTAAAAAAAAGATGTGGAGACTCTAGAAAGAGTGCAGAGAAGAGCAACAAAGATGATGAGGGGACTGGAGGATAAAACATGCAGAAATTGGGCATATCTAGGGAAAAAACGGGAAAAAAAGATTTAGGGGTGACATGATAGCATCTTTCAATATCTGAGGGGCTGCCATAAAGATGAGGGAGTCAAGCTATTCTCCAAAGCACCCGAGGGCAGGACAAGAAGCAATGGGTGGAAACTAATCAGGGAGAGGAGCAACTTAGAACTAAGGAGAAATTTCCTGACAGAACAATTAATCGGTGGAACAACTTGCCTCAAGAAGTTGTGAATGCTCCAATACTGGAAGGTTTTAAGAAGAGATTAGAAAACCATTTGTCTGAAGTGGTGTAGGGTTTCCTGCCTAAGCAGGAGGTTGGACTAGAAGACCTCCAACGCCCCTTCCAACTCTATTTTATTCTTAATTTATGATTGACTGGGTGTTCCAGGTGCCAAATTCTTCATGTGTCTCTCTGTTAACGTGTAAATTCATATATATATATATATATATATATATCCATGTATACTGTCTATTTGTTCTTTGGCTGGCAGAGGTAGTTAAGAAATCACTGAATTGGAGGCCTCATCGTCCTGCTGTTTTGTTCCTCAAATTGAGCGCGGGTAAAGGTCATAACAAGTATTTGCACTATGTCTTTTTCGTTCTTGAGCTGTGACCACTAACTGAGGGCTGTTCGGTGTGTAATTTCACCTTCTGTTGCCTTTACAATTTTGCTACGAGCTGCTCCCCACCCCCTCAGAAAGAGGATGTTTTTAATCGTTAAAATAAAGCAAAAATTTTTGTCCTATCTTTTTGGTGTGGTTTATTTGTTTGTTTGTTTGAATTCCTTTATTTAATCCAGGTCTTATCGTGACAGGCGGTCTGTTCTGTCCTCACTACACGTTAGTCTACGTGCAGCTCAACAGGCTGCTAAACCCACCTATCCGCCAATAAAACAGACTGTGTGTGTAGATCTGAAGGCTTGAAGGAACAGGATATGGTGAAACTGGAGAAAACAGGGATACATACAATGAGAACCAAATACAAGACAGGCAGTATTGGATTACCGCCAAACATAACAATAAATAAGAATAATTTAAATCTCACCAGCGATGCTCTGCATGTGGGATGTGGGTTTGTCCTTGGATGACCATGTTTCACGGATTAAGATGGATTCTTCTCTGTGCTTCTGTGTCCTCCAAATGCTAAAGGATATGCTTTTAAGATGATCACCAAATGTCCTCCATTTTATGACCTGTTTTGCAGTGGTCATTAAACAAATCCATGGTCGACAGTGGACATGTTTTGCTGGAAGTAAACACCAGTTTATGGCAAAACATAAAATTCTGCTTATAGGGCCGTAAATGGACATAAATTCAGGCTGATCACTGGCCACCTAAGTTGCAATCTTGTGACTGCAGAGCCACTCCGGCTGTCAGGATTTGAATCCAGATTGTAAGCAGCCCTCTGGAGGCCTGTTGTAATTTAAAACAGCCACTAACCAATTGGTTAAAAGTCAAGGACTATGTTTACGGGAGTTGACTTCTCACTATATTGATAGTCCTTCTCTTATGACCAATCACTTAGTAGCTACTGTATGATGATTGTGAGAAGTAACTACTATAGTGGTTACTCCTCCTCTACTTCCTCCTCTACTGCTAACTCTTCCTCCTCTACTACTAGCTCCGTCCTCTCCTCTTCCTCCTCTACTATAACTCCTCTTCCTCCTCTACTACTAACTCCTTCCCCTCTTCTTCCTCCTCTACTACTAACTGTTCCTCCTCTACCACTAATTCCTTCCCCTCCTCCTCCTCTACTACTAAGGAGCAGCATCTTATTAAGGGAGCAGATCTGCTCTGGTTCTGAAGTAGACAGCGAGTGGGCGATCCTCAGATGTGGGGTCAAACTGGATGACCTTACATTACCATCTTCTTCTTCTTCTTCTTCTTCTTTTTCTTCAGCGTTTGTCTCGCGCTCGGGCGAGGTCCGCTAATGTCCTTGAGTACTGCTTCCACACCTCTCTGTCTGCCACGTGTGTCGGGTCTGCCTTCGCGATCTCTAGATCGGCCTTGATCGTGTCCATCCAGCGTTGTTTAGGTCTACCACGTGGTCTCGCTCCTCCGACAGTCACCTTCATTACAGATTTGATGATGGATTCTTCCTTGGCGCGGCTCACGTGGCCGAACCATCGTAGCCGGGACTGCCTCATGACCGTGGGGATGGGCACGACGTTGAACCGTCTGCGCACTTCTTCGTTCGACCTTACATTACCATCAATTCTGATAACCCGCCTCTTATCCCAGAAAAAGCTATCTCATGGATGAGATGGAATTTTACTTTCTATTTCAGTCCCCGGGGGACAAAAAAAAATCCCATTTATTTGTTTGGGTTC